AAATGCACTAACAGCTATCAGCTTGATCTAGCACATCCCGATCAAATCTGTCACTATCTCGAACCCATTAAGCCTCGTGTCAGCTGCCAAAAAGGACTGCTGTTATTTTATCCCAGTTGGCAACTAAGCCCCACCCAGCTCCTTACACCCAGTGGGATGGGGGAGAATCCAAAAGGTAGAAGTGAGAAAACACTAAGAAATAAAGACAGTTACATAAGGAAAACAAAAGTCATGAATGCAGGCAAAACAAAAGAAGGAATTCATCCACCACTTCGCATGGACGTGCCGTTTTTCAGCCATTCTCAGGAAAGCAAGACTCCATCTAGCATAACAGCTACTTGGGAAAACAAAGGCTATCACTCCAAAGGTGTGTCCCCCCTTCCTTCTCCAGAATTTATATTACTGAGCATATGTCATATGGTATGGAATATCCCTTAGGTCATTTGACCTGTCACCTCTAAACCTCCTTGCACACCCCCAGCCTCCTGGCTAGTGGGGTGGGATGAGGAGTAGAACAGGCCTTGGCTCTAAGTGCTGCTCAGCAATAACAAAAACATCCTAGCACTACCAATAGTGTTCTCAGCACAAACCCAAAACCGCCCTGTAAGAGCTGCTCTGAAAAAAATTAACAATATTCCAGCCAAAACCAGCACACACAGAAAACTGTGGTCCAGTATTTGAATGGGCCAAAGGAAACACCATGAACATGAAGTTAGTGGTAAAGAGGTTTTTCCATACCTTTTCCAGTACAAGCTAATGTGTGCACAAGAGGAAAAGAAAAAGCCCACTGATGTATCCCCACTCACTGGGTACATGTGGGAATGTGTACAAATTGCAAGCCAGACTGGTTTTCTAGGGCTAAGATTTCAACAAGTGAATTTAAAGACATTTCTCCAGGCACAGCAATGTAAAACAATAAGAAAAAAATTTAAGTTAGCTTCAAGTCATTTAAAACCAGTAGATTTTCACTACAAAAGTGAATATTTAATTTAAATATGCCCATTTTAACTGGAGTCAGAAGTCATTAAGCAATGAATTAGCCTTCACGTTAGTTTTTAGCTTGATTAGTAGTCCATGAATCCCCAGTGTAGACTGACCACGCACTGAACCCTTTCTTCCTCATCTTACCAATTATAAAAAACATATTTCAAAGTCTCAAGAAAATTTCAGTGTTTCATAGGTGCTAAAATTGCGTTCTATAGTAGCACAGCAGTTTTATGAAATACACCCAGTGCAAAAGATATCAACATCTAAGAAACTAATTCCAAAGAACTTGTTTCTAAAATTGACCTACTCTAAGGCATAGGAAAAAAAAAATCCTGATAAAGCACTCATCTAATTGAAATTTCATGCTACTTTGAGAAAACATAAGACTGAGTCTGCTTCCACTTGTGCCAACTTGAGAGTCAGTGCTTTTTTTCTGCTATACCTCCTGTCTCCTTCATGCAGCTCCTCAAGTCTTCCCACATGCCTCAGCAGCCCTGAAGACCAGTAACAGAAAGATTACACCTTCTGCCTCCCTCCCAGGCCCCTCAAGCTGAAAGGCTCCCAATACCTTTTAACTATGATTTGCAACTCTATCTAAATTCTTACCTTGAAACATTCAAAGGTCATAGGTATTCACCATGTCTAGGTTGGCTTCCTATGGCCACAGGCAGAACTAGGATCAACACTGAGCTGCAGATCACTCATATTTTAAGAGCAGAGGGGCCATCTCAGAAAATGTGCTGTTCAGAGGACTCGGTGGTCCCTAGTGACATGCTGGACAATACAAACACTGAACTGACACAAAACACTAAGTATAATCGTTAATTTTTAGGGCTGATAGATCAAAAGGTTAATTTGAAGATAGACTAGCCCTCCTTATCTTACACTTCTAAGTTTAGGCTTTTTTCAGATTCCTATTTAGAGACAAACATTTTGTATAAGACCACAGGAAACTGTTCCAGAGTTTTCCTACAAAAACTGTTGCTCTTCATTTGCTGACTCTAGCCAAAATCTGTAGTGAAAGCAGCAGGAGCAAGAAATCTGAGGAAATAATTTTTATGCTGCCTATTTTCAAGTCTTTAGTCTCAGTAGATTTGGACCATAGCAATAAGAAATTTATTGTCTACTCTACTGGGTTTGCCTGCTAATGAAGAATTAGTTTCATCTGTAGAAGGGGAACTAAGCTCAAAGGGGCCAACAGGTGGGTGTATCCAGAGCTCCCAAACCGACATGCTAGAGCATGAGTTACCCAACCAGTTGAATTAAAATTGTAAACAGTTGCAAACAAACTTCTGCAGATGTTATTACTCATGTATGCTTCACACCCATAATTTGCAACTCAAGTAATGCCAATATTTATGTACTGTAAGTGCTTAATTATGTTGCTATGGAATGTAACACTCCTCCTATAATTCAGGCTCAGGACAAAGAGGTTGAATTCACTTAAAAGCATAGCTTTGGTTGAGACTTTACTCACCTATCAATGTCCTTGGCTACTGCAACCATGCAATCATTTCAGTCCTCACAGTAAAAGCAGTGTTTAGAAAGATTGTTATTCACCAAGTCAACAACGTCAGTAATATTTTATTGTACAGACACTCAAAGTTTCAAGAACTGGAGTTTAGCATCAGGAGACAATGTTCAAGTTTTCAAAAGTACAACCATGGGTGACAGATCTGCTGAATAGAGACTGGAATACTTGAGCTTTCTGGATCTGCTGAAATTTAACGATAGCACCTGCTGCTTCCTAAGTAACACAGCTTTTTTCTTGGCAGCTCAGTCTGATGCAGTGCCACAGCTCTGAAAATCACGTAACAGAAAATATTTAGTACTGTATCTGCTAGCTCCTTCAAGAAAAAATAAGTGGTGCTGAGACAGTGAAGTAGTTCCAGAGATTTTCTTTTTTTCAAAGATCATTAGTTATTATCATCAGGTTAATACTTTTAGTTCTCTCTTTTTTTCATTCCCAGAATGAGAATTCCCTTAAGATACAAGTAAGATAAAGAGTCTATATCTATATTTTAGGAAGATAATTAGAGCAGTTCTAATTACCATCAGAACAAGCTTTACAAGCTTTTTTAGTAACTCCATGTAACAGCCATACAATTAGAGAACACTGAAGTTTAAAATCTGAATTTCAATTACAGCAACATCTAGGTCCATTATATCACTACAGGGTCAAAAAAGCTGTTTAGTTGTCAACTTTCCCACCTGAAAATTTATCCCCAAATGAGAATTTTTTAGACTTGAAATCATTCTCCCTTATAGTATGATATTGCTGTAAGGCTTTTTCCTTACCCCATAATTTCATGATATATACATAAAAAAATAATTAGAACCATTTTTACATAAAATCTCAGGGATTTAAAGAATACAAATAAAACAAGAAACACGTGAAATGCAACTACAGAATATTTATACCATTTAAATTTTAAACAATTTCTGAATTTAGCAGAATACCCACAAGTTGTTTTATGCTGCTAAAATATATAACCAAAAAAGTTACAGTCACATTTGCACTTCTTGTACTTGGGTTTCTCAGTGTACTGTAATGTTCACTGATAAGAAGCTGTGTTTTAAAAAATGATTATTTAATCAGGAGAAGCTGAGGAATTTCCATCTTCAAGGAATACTATTTCAGTTGTGAAAACACCCTTCTGACTTATCTGACTTCAAACTGTGGAGGGAGGAGCTCCTCATTCTGTCCAAAGTCAAAGCAACAAGTGACACTTCTTTTTCAAAGGGCATCACAACTGACAGGACCTACTGGTCACAAATCCTCCCACATGAAAATACTCCCCAGAACATTTTGAGAGCTAAACCAAATTTGTCATCCTTTCTCCACCCACAAATCCTTTTTTTGAATGAAAAAAATTGTATGTAACAACACAACTAGGAAGACAATAAATCTTCTGGTAGACCAAAAAAAAAGGCACCTTGTAAAATTTCTTCAAGTGAAACTATCACATAACACAAGTAATTAGTTACCTTCATGAGGAATTATTAGAATTTCTGAGGAAAAACAATTTTAAAAAACTTCTTTGAACTTTTGGACTCATGAGCACATTCTGAACACATATAAAAACAATTTCCACAATACCATGCAACTGCCAGGTCTTGCAAATCCTACGGAACTCCAAGGGAAAGCAGAAATACATGATCATTTCCCTTGTTCTCCTACTAGAGCAGTTGTGCGTTAAATGATGGTGAGACAGGGACTGTTCTCACCAGGTAACACGAACAAGTTATGCAAAAAGCTCATGAGAAGTCCTTAAGCATTGGAAATGGCTGGCCTGGACATTAGAGTCATAAAAGCTTCTTTTCATGATTACATGGATCCCCGTATTGCAAACTTTTACCTGGTGGCTACACTCGATTTTTGTTGTATGCATATTTTTAAAAACCTCAAAACACTGAGTACCTGTAATGACAGATAAACCACATTTCTGTAAGATCAAGAAAATGAATAAGCTCTTTTCATACTATGAAAGGGCAAATTCATACTGAATATTACATAGTTGGGCAAGAGCAAGACTGACGTGGGACTGGAGGCTACTTTATTTTCCAACTAAAAGAAAATCTCACTATACCAAATGCACTTATCCTTATAAAGACTGTATCAATGCTCAATTTGAAGTTTTAAGAAAAGTTCTATCCTATAATATATATTTCTTGGGAGAGCAAACAAAAGAGGCCAAAAGAATTCCCTCTCCATATACCAACAAACCACAAAGTAAAATACACAGAATTTACTGATGCTTTGCTTTAAAAATCATCTCCAGGGAATGTATCTACATTACAAGTCTGGTTCTCCATAGCAGTAATGTGAACCTAAAATGCAAAATTTCCAGTAATAAAAACAAAAGTACTGCACCTGAATAATATTTGCAGAAATTATATTAAAGGCCAATATATGATCTCAAAAAGCCCTGTTGCACATCTAAGAAGAAACATCACTACTGAGGAGTTCAGTAAAATAAGAACTTTGTATTGGTCTCAGCATTATTACTCACCCGCTTTGGCCCACTAAAAATCTTCCTGGTGTTTTCCTTGGATTTATCACCTTGTTTATTTGTAGATTTCTTATTGCCTTCAAGGACACCAGATGCATCCTCTGAAAACTCCAGATCTGTTAAAGGTAAATATAGACATGAAACAACCATTTTAAAAGCTGTTCAACTGGTAGAGCATTTCTGACAACTCCACATGTATAGCGTCTGACATTACACCATGAACAATCAATATTCATCAGAAAAATCAGCCTTAATGCCAAGTACAGTCCTGGATGCAGCTCAGGCTTGCTGACTGGATTGCAGTAACACAGAGAAGCATGACAAGGTGCACAATCAAAAATATTACAGCACCTCTTGCCCACTGGGTAAGCTGCAGGCTACTGCTTCCCATCCCACACTCCTGTAAATCCCAGGACACCTTTTACATGAGCTTACTAATGGCTGGCTTACTGCTACAACCCTGAGCAGCAGATGAATAAAGCAGGAGACTGGGTTCTCCAAAAGTGTGAGATTAAGAGAGTTAGAAGAATACACCACAATTACAGAACAGAAGAATAGATCTTGCTTCACTTCTCATGAAGGCAGCCTGTTTATATTTGCTTATTCTGCTGTAAACAGGAAAAAAATACAGTGATCAGCTCAGAAAAGAGTCAGCTAGAAGAACTGCTGACATGGTCTTTCAATGGATTTGATACTTTCATTACCACCGATTCCAGTATCTTGTCCCGGACTGTAAATCTGCAATTCACTCATCAAATTCAATTTTTGCCCTTAGTTTTTTTTTAAAAAACTTGTGTTGCTTTATTTGAAGCACTATCCCTTGCAGACAAGGGAAAGGGTTTACTTGGCACAAACCAGAAATTATCATCAATTTCAAGATGGAAATAAAGACAGGCACAGAGACACACTGTTTCATCTGACAAACTGTTCAGAAAACCAATCTATTCCTGAAAAGCTGCTGCTGTTTGAAAAGTCCACTGCAAGAACACAAGCAGGGAGGACGGGTTACTCTAATCCCAAGTACCTAGGACCAGTCAAGCTGGTTAGGAAGGCAAAGGCAAAGCAGGCAACCAAATTTCTAATGGCATTCACAAGGATACAAAACCTGCCTGGGGAATAGAACTACTCTTAAAATAAAGATCCAAAGTTTCCCAAATTGCAGAAAATTTCCCCAAGCTCCAAAGTTTCCCAAATTGCCTGGGCTTGGCAGCACCAGGACTGGCAGGATGCCTGCTGCAAGGCACCTTCTGGATCCAGCCTCTCACATTCTATCCCACTGGTTTTCAGTGTGGTTGTGTCAGGTGAGCACAAGACCTTACAAACACAGTGTCAACATCGCCTCTGAAAACAAGTGACTTTAACAGATGTTTCATAAAATTAGTGTAACCGAGGAAAAACTCTACAGACCAATTTCCATTAACTAAAACACAAAACTACTTCCAAATCTATGTAAAAGACAACTTAGTTCTTGATGAAGCCAATTTAAGGAATAAAATCAAATTGCTTTGATATATATCCTTATAAATCCAGAAATAACTACATACAAGCCCTGAACACAGTTCTCAAAGAAAATCAAACCAAGAGAACTAGACCCTCCAATTGCAGACTAAAAGTTAAAAAGTAATGTACTTGACTACAGCCAGTACAAATATGCAAGTAATTCTAGAAATACAAAATATTTCATCCACCGAATGAAAGCAGTAACTTTTGACCTGTGCTATGACTTGGACTTGTCATTGCTTCAATAATGATTAACAATGCTCTGGGATCAACACAATTTTAACTTAAATTTCCTTTGAATTCTACTCCTATGTGATTCTGAACTACCCCATTTAAATTAGTTAATTTTAAATTCAAAAAAACTTCTTGATAAAAGAAAGTCAACTTCTACTTACAATAGGATAATTCTGCATCTTCTCATCTTCTTAGCACATCAAACACTTACTAGCTTTGTAAGATTACCTGGAATGCTTCTATCTGAGCAGTGCCTTTGGAGACCTTCTAAGTACTCTAAAAGCACACGTCATACATTATCTTAGCAGACTTTTAAATCTAAACAAAATAGGGTCTGGGTGACAAGTCTTTTGTTAACATTAACTGAGGAAAACTCGAGTAGTTTGGTAAGCAGTGACCCTACCGAAGCTGGAGCTCCACTGGCTCTCTCCTGTATGGTTTTTTGGAGGGTTTTTTTGCCCCCTCACAGAGCAATTGGTCCTATTACCTTTTTTCTCAGTATGGAAGCATGTAAGTCCTTTTTTTTTCTCAGTCTACCCATTTTTAAGGCATTTATAATCTTCAAGATAATTTGCCTGTCTTGGCTAGAACTGGAAAGATGTTCAAAGACCAACTAAGGCAACAACCACAGTAAATTTCCTGGGGAACAAGAACGGAGTTTTGTTTTAGTGTCTCGGGGCAATTCTGCAGAAGGTTTTGAAGCCCAAACAGGACTCTGCCTTTGAGTACTTTGATGTAGTTTTAACTAGCTTAAAATATTTACCCAATGAAGGTGACTCTGTTTTTGAGAAGATGCAAAGAAATTTAAAAAAAACAAAAAAATCCCAGGGCAAGTTGGCTCACCAGCACTGAGCTGAGTGCTAGATGCTGATACACAAAAACTACATTACCTAAAAAGATTATGGGAATCTCATCTTGATCAAGAAAAGGAAAAATGCATAGATGACACAAAGGTTAAGCTACATATCAGAACTGATTTACAAAGCAAAAGACTAAGCTGCAATACAGATTTCTCTTGGATACAACTCCCCATTGATTATTATAGTCGAGTCAGTAACTTTTTTCCAGTATTAAAAGCTTCTCCTCATTGGAGTCATCCTGTACTCTGGCTACTGAAATGACAAAAGCAGTGTTTTAAATCTAGGAAAGTCTCACCAGTACTTTTAGTCCCTGGCATTCTGGCAGAACCCAGCTGGGAGGCTCACAAGCCAAAGGGGCCTTGCTTCATTGGGCTGCTACAGAGGAATCAGAGAATTTCAGATTGAAGTGGCAAAATAAACTTTTACTAGGAACTCAACACTTTTGCAAAAATCTAAGGCTAATAAAGTTATTATGAAGTATTTTCATTAAAAAGTGTGGTCACAGCATCTAGGAATTTAAAAGGTGGAGCTTTTTTTCAAAGTTGGGGGTTTTATTTGCTTGGCTTTTGTTTGAGTTTTTTTTTGTGGTTTTAACCATTTCAGCAAAAAAGACTATCATAGAAGTGAGCAACAGAAAATTTTTTTCAATGAAAGACAGTCTAACCAAAACTGAATTTATCTGTCTGGCAATTTTCCTGTACTAACAATATTGTTCCTGTAGTCTCTGCACTTTCTTAGATCTCATTTGTCAAAACATTTAAATATGTATTACTAAACTTAATTTCCCTCTGTGAACTACTAGACTGGAAGGAAGTCTTTATAAAAATGTTCCATTAAAACATCTGACAAAGATTTTGTAAGGTTAAGGCTAAGTCATGATTAAGGTTCTAAAACCTGTTTCATAAAAATACACCTTGATTATGGCAAGTAACCAAATCAGTATTATGGCAAAGTAAGACTGTGATAGCATAAATTTTCTTGAAAAACTGCTTATGCCACGTAACATTATTTATGCACAGAACACCAAAATCAGCCTTGGGATTTTCCAGGGCTGAAATTCAGAGAGCCAGTCTGGCATTTCACCTGTCACAACCTGGAACAGGAACACTGGATTTTTATCTGGGCATTTATTCATTAGTACAAAGAAAGAACAGCACATACAGAACTCAGGTAGCATTAGCACCTCTCAGTACTATTCAACATTTCTGGACAGTGTTTTATTGTGCAAGATGTTCTGAAAGTTGTTTCTCAGGTTTGGAGTCAAAGCTGGCATTTTTCATGGATGCAGAAGCACATTTTTCCAGTATGCAAAGACAATACCTCAGAGCAATGTCATATTTTACTGCAACTTCAGGTTTAGATCCAGAAGTTCTTGAGAAATTCTCAGGCTCAGCATCACTGTTTTTAAGGACTCTTACCGTGGTTGTTCTGAGAAATCATGATTCTCAAAATTTGCAAAGAGAAAATAGCATAAACTTCAGCAGGGAGTGCCACAAATTTTAGGGCAGCATCAGACTCTCTGCTTTCATAATCTGTACTATAGAGCATCATCCTTTCAAGTTTCAGAAAAAAACCTGCAAGTCAAATCTCACCTGCCAACAGCAGCACAAAACAAGAATCAAATGAGCAAAGGAGATGCAAAATAAAGGGGAAGCATCTCCCAGGAGAGGGACTGAGAGGTAGCTCTTACCTGAAGTGGAAAAGCACATTAAGAACTAACAAACATAAATTTACACCCCCCTGTGCCATGGAAATCTATTAGGAAAATATTTCAGAGAAAACATCTGTGAGACCTGGGAGTATAAAGGCCTGCTTGGTGAATGCAGTGCCACATGCAAAGTGTGTATATTTTGAGACTTCTGAGGACAGCAGCTGAAAGGATTATTTGATGGGTCAGCATTCTTAGCTGCATTAACTGTACAAGCAAATTTTTCCCTTGGAATAAATGGCTGAACAAAAAGTCATTAAAGACAGGAACTAGAAGTACTTCTTAAACAGCCCTGTAAGATAAACCCATTTTCCAAAGAGGCTGGAACCCAAGTGTCTTATCATAAGTAAATTTTATGAAAACAAATAATGTTTTTTTTTTTGTTTGAAAACAATCTTCTTGTACAACATCAGTATTCATTTGTTCCTTTCAAATCCACCAAAAAACCCTAGTGGTGACATTTAGTTTGATTAAAAGGCTTACAGAAAATTCTGGTTTTAGAAACAGCTATAATTAGAACAGAGAAATTTTTCCTCTGAAATTTTATTTTGGGATTATATTAGCAGAAGCTATTTGTAGGAAAAAAAAAACAGCTTCTCCAACATTTGCAAAGCTAGACTGAAATCCTCTCTTGCTATCACAATGAAATACATCTGGCCAAAGTCTTGAAATGTAACAACTTCAGTGAGTTGATAAAACTTCTCTCACTTCATGCTCCACAATGGAGGACCAAAATGTTCTGTAGAATAGTGGCAGTGTTTTGAAGTATTTATTCCAACACAAGTGATTCTCTGGCATTGGATTTTTTCAGAACAGAGGAGCTAAAAGCAACCTTCCACCAAAGGTATTCCTTTTCTTCTTCACCAACACACAGGACCCAAGCAACCACCAAGCAAGTCTCATTTTGCAAAGGATTTTAATCACCAGAACTTGCTCAGCAGCTGCCATGTCCACAGTTTTACTCATAAACATGTGTGACTACACACACAGTGCACTCCCCAACCTGTACAGAAGAAGGAGATATCTAAACACTGAAAATAAGAGCAGAAACAAATATGCAGAGCCTCTCCCAAAGCCAGTTATCTGACTGGCACTCCATGAGCCTCCAGAGCCTCTCCCTTGAGTCATGCATCCTCAGATAATATGGAGCCTGAGAAAGGTGCAAACTGCCTACAGTCACATTCAAAAGCAGAAAAGGATATTTCCCATTTCTTAAGAGCTACTTCAATGTGTGCGCTTAGCTCTGCAACTGTGGGCTGATCTGGAGGCTCTGTGGGAGGATACCTGCCTTACAGGCAAAGATACTTATGCTTAACACACCAAAAAGGTGCAAATCTTCTGTTGGAAAAGAAAAAAACCCTCTACCTCTGGCAAGAGACCAAGGGGTAGGTATAAAGCATACTTCAAGAGAGATATGAAACACCAGACAGGACCACAGGAGAAGTAAGCTTAGCTGTTAGATTTCAAGTGAGTAATTTAACCATCAGGTTTCCAAATCAGTGGTATTGGACAAACTCCTAGGTACACTGCAAAAAGAACAGAACATTGAAGTCAATTAAAATTAAATGCCACCCGTGTATTCCAAAAGAGTTCTACTGACCTGCATTAGTGCTGAGCTGGCTATCCTGGGAACAGTTTTCATTGCCATCAGAGGTTGACTGTAGTGAAGCAGATGGTACAGTTCTACTTCGCTTTTTGTTTGCCTTCCTTTCTGCTACCTGCCACTCTTCATCTTCGTCCTCGCTTTCACTTAAGTCATCAAACCCAAAGTACTTGATTTTGTAATTGGAACTCCCAGAACTTCTAGAGGCGCCTTCATCTCCCCCTCCCTCGTCTTGATCATCAAACCCAAAAAACTCTAATTTGACATCCTTCTTGGATTTGGTATTGCTTGGTCGGAACCTGGTTGTAGTTTTTGTGGTGGCCATGTCTGCCTTTTTCCTTAAGCGCCCAGCTTCGCCCAGGTCGGTGGGGGCTGCCGAGGTGAATTCATCCATGCGCTCCATGGTGTCCTGGATGGTGACATTGCAAACTGACAAGCAAGATGGGTGCAGAACAGTGTAGTCTCTAGTCCGTCCCACCGTCCCTCTAAAACTGGTCCCACTACTTAAAGAAACTTTTTTTCCTGCATTCAGACTGTCATTATTTGACTCATTGTTTGCTTTGGATAAAGACTGACTAGTGCCATCCATCAGCTTGTCAAAATTCGTTGCCCCCTGCAGTTTTGCTTTGTTGGATCGACAATATGTCCTACAGTTGCTTGGCCTAGGAATAGTTTGCACAAGTTCTTCACTAATGGCTTCCTTTGGATTTTCACTATCTTCTTTATCACACTCCTCATCCTTGCTCTTCACCTCTGAGAGATGTTCATTGTCAAAAGCTAATATATACTCTCCAGTTCTGGTGTCTTCAGTTTCATCCTCCCATTCATACAAGTGAGTTCTTAGTGGCCCCTTGGTCTGAGATGTTTCTGATAGAGAATCTGCTGTTTTTCCCACATGGGAGTCCCAAGAATCAGGCAAGTCCTTGGCTTCAGTGTTGCATCCAGAAGTGTCTGTGGTTTCAGCATTGGTTTTATTACTGTCTCCAGCATTGTCATAGATGAAATGACTGTTCCCATTATCTTCTTTCAAGTTCTGGATTTTATCTACAAAAACACATATATTTATTATTAAAATGGAATATTAGAAAAAAATAGTCGCCCGTGTGGGTTACTTCAGAAATTTGCAACATAACAAAAAGTATTCTGTGATCACTGACAAAAAACATTATAGGTGTTTATCCACCTAGTTTATACTTCATAAGCCCTCCAGTTTAAAGGTTTTGCTATAATAGTCTTCTTGTAACTTCTACTAAAAAAAACCCTTGAAGTGTCACTCTGAAAATATACGCATCATGTAAAACACAGTGGTAAACCCTACATACAACCACCTACTTACCATGGCAAATTACACTGAGAAAGAGAAACTCTGTGGTGAAATTTTCAGGAAAGACAATTAATGAAGTTTGACATACAGTGACTTACAGTGAATAACTAGAGATAAAGAACAACTACACATGCTCCTTACAAATACAAGGAAATAATTTCCTTCTTGTACCCTGAATAAAACAGCAAACAACTTCAACTGTCATTTAATTTTGCTGCTCTAAATGAAAATATTTGGACTTGCAAAAGAAATATAAAAATGCAGTTGTCATCAGAAATTTTAATTTTATTGCTTCTGAAATGCAGGTTTATGCACTGAATTTCTCCATCTCTGAAGAAGAGCTGCTGCCAAAAGTCATTCTTGCACTTCTCCAACCCACAGCCACACTCACATCTTACACTGTCCAGGAGAACAAGTTCCACTATAAGAAGTCAGTTTTTGTAAGGTTTGTTTCCAGCCAACCAGCACCTACACAATAGTAACTCCAGGAAGTAATGCAAACACTAAGTCTTCCACTTGCTGTCCTCTAAAGTAGTAGGGAAACATTCCCTTTGTTTTCCCTGAATACCAACAAAAGCTTGGTGGATTTGCTACCAGAGTTTCATGATGACTGCATCTGCCATCCTCTGTTGACATCACACACACACAGACACCCAGCAGTCTAAGAGGGGTATTTCCAGGAAATAAGAATTTCTTGGAAATTTCTGAGACAGTATCAGCAAGCACAGGAACCCAGGTGCCTGCCCTTACTGAAATGGCTGCCTGGGCCAGGAGAAGCAAGATAAGAAGTCTGACAATGCAGAAGACCCTGGTGCACAGAAGAGCAGCACATGATGGGATAAACTGGAGACACAGAAGCAACTGAGACAGGGCCAAGTAACAACCGAAATGCTAGAAGAGACGTGCTTAGAAGACATGTGCAAAACATTAGTGACAAAAGGGGTTCCACTGGCAAAATGCAACCCCCAAAGGTTCAAATTTTTAAGCAGCAAAGACTTCCTAAACTCACCAGTAAAATGAAGGCCAAAGCATCTCTTTAGCACTAGTCCTGATCACATTATATTTCATCAGCTTCCATTTACCCAAGTGGCACAAAAGTTTCACAGCACTGACCAGAAGGTTTCAACCTCCTGATGAGGGAAACAAGCATCAGCATTGTTCCAGGGACTTTGGCTCACTTGTTTTCAAATTAAAATGGAATCATCTAAATGCCATCCTTGCACATATGTTTTATAGAAGAATTTTAAGGTACTGAAAATTCTATGTAGAAGAAATGGCAACCAAATCCAGTTTTGTAGGAAATTGGTTTAACCCCTGCTACAATTCCTCAGGGAACCAGGACAAGTAATATCTGACAAACTGCATCTAAGTCTCCTGGAGTCTGGCTGAGATCTGTCACAGAAGTTATACATACTCAGCTAGAAATAAAAAAAAATTTCCACAGAATATATGAAATGCAAAACTCAAGGCTAAATTCCTCAAAGAACAAGGAACCCTAACCCTGCCACCTCCAAGATGGAATCTTGGTTATTATTTTTCAGTATCAATATGTTACACAAGCAATATTGTTATTCCCATTTCAATCTCATGCTTGCCATAATCCAAGAGGCACAACCAAAATGAATTTTTCTGGAATCAAGGAAGGGGTTTGACAGTGTACAATATGTTCCTTTCTCCCATATGTTTAATATTATTGTGAAGCTGAAGACTACCACAACACTCTAGGCATGAAAAACAGCAAATTAAATTTAAAACATTTTTAGACTTCCTTGCTAAAATACACTGTTTTGCAGGCTCACCATTGCTGTTCCATATCTAAGGGAACTTCTTGTCTCTCCTCATGTAAATGTGATCAAGATCAATTTCTCCAGTCAGCTCAGCTGACTAATAAATAACAAATCCATTCTAGCCCGGTCAAATGGCTTTATTGATGCTCGGTTTATTACACTTCCAAGAAACGTTACAAGGCAAAGAGCACTAACAACTCTTCATGTTCACAGCAGGACTTGTGTAGCCTTTGTGTAACATCAGCAGCTTTGAACCTTGAGCTGTCTTGAGAAGATTCCATAAAAAGTGCTGCATCCAATTTTACCTTTCAGTTCCTAATTTAATATAACACACCAAGGTACTCCTAAACAGCATAAAAGTGGCAGTTAACCTCCCCCTTGATTCTGGAGCACCAAAATTTAAAAAACATACAATACTTCAAAAGTCTTAGTCACTGCACCAGGAAGGTTTTTCCATCTCCAATAATAAGCAAGGCTAATGGAAAATGGTAAAAAGTTTGGCTTTAAAACTGGATCATCACGATGTTTTACTGGAAAACTAAGCAGTCACATTTAGAGGAATACTTTCTCTAAAGACCCTTTGTCAAGCCACGGTTCTCATCTCATCAGTGGGTCAATAGCTGTCAGCCTGAACCCTCAATACCAGAAAGTACTGCTAATCACTTCCTAATTGCCCAAAGGTGTACAGGAACTGCAATTCCAATAACCCTGATCTTTAAAATTATAGTATTTATTGGCAGCAACTACTACAGCAGAAGCTACCATGATTGTAGGGAAAAAATATATGAGAAAAGGAACTAATTATGAATTACTAAATATCCTGAAGTTCAAGAGAGGCATAGAACTTCTCCTCCTATTTTTAACTGCAATTAGGCTCTTCTGGGGCTCAGATATCAGAATAACTCTCCCAAGTAATTTAAAATCAGCAACAGCATAACTCCCCTCCCCAAGTACAAACACTGTATACCTAGGAACCATAATCAATGTTCTGTGGTAATCATGATTTATTTTCTGTTTAGATCACTAAAAGTTGCTTTATTTCATGCTCTAGTTTATGTCACTTAACAAGACAGATGTCTTCAGCATTGCTGATGAATCAAAAAAAAAGCCAAAGTAAAACTTTCACTCTTTCCCATAAAATGCGATGTTTTCACACACACACAGATGCATATTACTAAATCTGTAAAACTGTATTTAAGTGATTATGATTATTGTTATTTAAGTGATTATGATTATTAGTCAAGTTACCATTAGAGAAAAAATTTCAATTTCAGACAATGCAAGATAGTAAATTTACATAAGGCAATAAAGTTTACACTCTTCTATAATATATATAGATATATGCAAACACTCAAACAGCAGGAATGTTAGAGAGTTGTCAAAAGCCCACTGCTTTTTCAGTAACAAACCTGGAAATGTGTAAGAAATATGCATCTATACTTACATGGATTAGACTAGATGGCTATGAAAATAACAATGTTATCTCATTTTTAAAGAACACTTACCGTAAGTACTCATTAGATGGAACAAATGTTAATCTATACATTGAACAATAAATGCCTCATGACTACTACAGGCTTGCCAGTGGTACTATCTCCTCCCTTTTCATTTTTAAGGTCATGGATAAAATGAAGAATGGGATTCTAGAACTAAAAAGCTCCACTTTTTTTTTTTTAAGAAGAGAAATTAATTTTTATAGTGGTAAGAAACCTACATCCTCCAGCTCAACATCTGACAATTCTGACATGAAAATTCTCACATTTCAACTTCATTTTTTCTTTAAGGACCTATAACAGTAGAAGTTTGACAGGGGAAATACTGATGTTTGGAGAAAAGATAAAAAACTCTCTCCACCAAATAACAAAGCTGTAAGAGTTAACAACTTATACCCTGACCCATCAGGTATAGCATATGCCAAAATGGAATCCAAAACAAAGTAAAGTAATCCTTTAGGAAATCAAACACTCCTCTGGGCAAGAAAACCAAGCAACCATAGTCCATCCATCCTCCAGCCTAGTCCCTGTTTCACTTTTCTTTCATTTAACTTACAAGGCTAAGTGACTGGGGCTCCAAGTCTGCAAACATCATTTTCAGTTCTGTAAAAACCAAATCATTATTAAGAGTCTAACACTAAGTGCCTACAGTCAAACGTTACATGCTTTAGTTAACTATTCAGAGGTAGAGCTGCAGAACCTCATTTGCTATTTTCACATTACTCGGAGCACAGAGCAGGATCTCGGGCTGTGAGAACAAGGTCTCCTGCTGTAAATTTCTACCCTGAACAGACGCAGGGCTCACAGGGCAAAGCTGCCCCACAGCTCAACCACCATCCCCTGCAGCCTCCTGAACAGCAGCCTGTGGCTGGGCAGGGGATCACACACCGACATGTGCCAGCTCCACGTGCCCTCGCTGCTGCCTTCCCAGGGATTAGGGACCCAGCTAAAACCTCCTCTGCCATTCCACCATGCAGACAGCAGGGAGGCAAAAGCACAGATGGCACCTGAAACAGCACTGTGTCTTTGAGAGCTCTCTTCACCACACCAAATTTGATCAAAACAGTTGAACAGCACAAATGTTAAAAGAAAACTGAACACAAAAGGACAATCAATATTATTCTTGGTATTATCACATATGCAAAATAAATGCTTACTTTTTCCCATGTGCTCATGGACAAGTTGCCAGTGTTACATGTTAGCCTTACTAACTTGAACTTTGGGTTAGTTTTCTCTCCTATTAAAGCCAAGCAAAGTATCCTCCAAGCTACAAAGGCACATGGCCTCCTGCAGCATGAAAATTTATGCTCCTTCAGTGCTGCGTGAGTAGCTGTACAAGCCTTCACTTTAATACTGAGAGAAACATGATTACTATTCACAATAAACAAATCAACAAACACACTGTGTTTCTTTTAGTACTAGCCACAACTCACTGCAAAT